GGGTAAGAAAAGTCAGCCCTGGCACTGTGGCCCGAGCAGCCCTGAGAGCACCCCTGAATGGGTTTTAGGCATACTGGGGCCCCATGACACACTGGGATCGATCAGCATTGAGGGCCAACACCCTTCTAGTCCTAACCAGAGGGAATAGAAACAGAGCCTCGCCATTCCAACCACTTTCCTCCTTTATCTCAGAATGTGGCACTCCTAGCATTGTTCTAAGGTTACTGAACAAACCTGCAAGTGAGCAGGAGGGGAGAGCTTGGTCAATCCAGGACCACCCAAACAAACATCCTGAAGTCAGTAGATACTTGGAACTCAATCCAATGCTTCTCCATCTACCTCCCTATCTTCCTTCCTTTCTCCCTCCCTCCCTTCCTTCCTGCCTGCCTGCCTTCCTTCCTTTTCCCTTAAATAAACAGATACTAGACCTCAGGTTTAGAAAGCTAAACAAGCAACCTGAGTATTCAACTTTAATAATTATGTTTCATTTTCTTTATACTTATTTTTGCTGGAGATGTCTCTTTAAAGCAAGCAGCACTGGTATTTCAGAAGTGCTGATGTGAAATTTTCCTTTGAAAATACTCATAACTGTTCTTGAATGAAAAACATGGTTAAATAGTTTTTAAAATTTACTTAAATAATAGAAGATTACAGAACTAACAAAAATCCTGAGATGCTAAATGCAGCAAATGTCCCTTTTTCCTGCAGACTCATGTCCTTGTCACCTACTACACCAAAATCTTCCTCCTGCCTGAACATGCGATGGCTTGTACATCACAAACACAATACTTTGGTACTTTAAAATGGGCATTTGCACTTAATGTAGTAAAGTGAAGGTTGGAAACATGCTTCATAGCTCAAAATAACTTGTTGAGCCCAGCTAATGAATCCCAGGAGGAAAAAAAAAGTGCTCGTTCATGTCATTCCATTTGCAGCAGAGGCAGAGTTCTTTTTCTTGGTCCAAAAGACCGAAGTTGAGGACAAAGGGGGGTTGGGTAGCTGGCCCAGTGGGGGGGCCCGATGCTTGGCATCGGCCTTGTGGCTGATGCTGTCCAGACTGTCGGCTCTATTACAGATGCTCCCTTCACCCATCCATCCCAGTATTAAAGGCCACTTCTTTATCCAGGCTCAGAGGCATCTGCCTGACCCTGAAAAACTCCTGAGTCTCCCTGCCAAGTCCATATCCATAAGTACATATTTATGGATAGAAATCACCTTCAGAGTCCCTTCGCTCTGCAATTGAGACTGCTGTATCTGTCCTCTCCTCTGTCCTCCAGAAGAACATGGCCTCTGAGGTTAGTTTGAGCTCTGTCTATTCTGCCGACTGTTTGACTTTGGGGGAAAGCTTTCGACCCTCCTGATCCTAAGCCATATCATTTGTAATAATAGTACCTGTCGATTTCATCCATGGAGCCAACAGATACTTGAGTGCTTTGTGAAAATCTGGAAATCGAAAGATTTTACAGCAAATATGACAAGATCCCTAGCTCTCTAAATCTTACAGGCCAACAGAGACAGTTCTAAGTCAATACTGAATGAATTATCACTGATAGTGACAAATTATTTGAGGGAGATATAGTAGGTAATACGGTAAATGAATTATGCAAATGACTGTGCATGCGTTGCAAACCATTATATGGATCAAAATAAACTTCTTCTGAAATTCCATTTTGCCATGAACTTTTTGAAGTATCCATTTCAAGTAAGTTTCTTCAGTGACTTGGAGGAAACAACTGAGAAAAGAGATGGATAAACTCTGGGAAGAGCTGTTGCTGAAACCAGTGCGCATATGGGATGCCTAGGTCGTGTGGTGTAGATTTAAATCTCTGGCTCTGGGAAGTGAAGGTGCACAGAGCTTTCCCACAGCATGGATGCCCAGCAAGTTGGCACGGGAAGTGGGAGGAGTCTCTGTCTTTGCCTGCAGGTTATCACAGAGTACAGCTGAGTTAGTGATGTGCGAGTTAGTGCTAAACATCCTGCACAGTATCTCATTGAAGCCTCACAGACCCTTACAAAGGAGATGGCACTCCGACAGCCCTCCTGGATCACCAAGACCACCTAGGTGGGAGTGGGGATTCCCAACCAGGCCAGGCTGGCCCCAGAGTCCACACCCGGACCCCCAGACTGGACAGCAATCCAGTTGTCAAGCTTGTGAACATCACCCTGAGGAAGACTCCTTCTCTCATGCCCTCCACCTTGCCCAGACATACCAAGGCATGCTCATTTTTCCCTGGTCTCTGTTCTGTTCCCAGCACAGAGCTGACTCCAGAGTAAGTGCTTGCTGTTTTACTCATTGAGTGATAGACATGTATCATTTATTCTTTTTAAAGATTTCTTTATTTTTATTGGAAAGTCAGACATACAGAGAGGAGGAGAGACAGAGAGGAAGATCTTCCGCCTGATGGTTCACTCCCCAAGCTGCTGCAATGGCCGGAACTGAGCAGGTCTGAAGTCAGGAGCCTCTTCCGGGTCTCCTACGCGGGTGCAGGGTCCCAAGGCCCCAGGCCGTCCTCAGGTGCATTTGCAAGAAAATAGGTGAGAGTAGAGGAACTCTAGCCCTGGCACAGTGGCATGCAGCCCAAGCCTCTGCCTGCTATCACCAGCATCCAATATGGGTGCCAGTTTATGTTCCAGCTGTTCCCACATCTGACCCAGCTCTCTGTTTATGGCCTGAGAAAACATCAGAGGATGGCTCAAGTCCTTGGGCCCTTGCACATACAGATCAGCTCAGCTCTCTGTATCATTCTTTCTCTGTTAAATCTGCTTTTCCAATTCTGATATTAAAAATAAATAGTGGTTTGGCCATGGGGCTTGGGTGAAGGGAGCCCTCAGCAGTGTGGCAGCTGCTGGGGGTACCTGAGCCAAGTCAGACTCAATGCTTGGGATTCTGGCCATGGACACCACTGCCATATGGTGAGTGAGTCCTGGGCTTTTGGACAGCCAGCACGCCAACTGGTGCCAGGCTCCACCTGCTGACCACCCAGTGGCAAGGGCTGGGGTATTGGGGGTTTGGAATTGCTTCTTAGGTACATCCATGGATAAGGCCATTGTGTGTGTAGGTGAGGAATGAATCCTTAGGGACTCCGAACAACAGGGTCACTGTGCTTGCAGGTAAGCAAGGGGACTGAGACCTGGCGGTTTGGAGGGCAGAGATTGGAAGACCTGTATGGGTCAGACTGATATACCAGCCTACATGGGATTGCTGAGTAGGGCTTGTTATCATGGAACATTGCTGACCAGCACACACACCAGTCCATGTGAAAGCTAGGGCTGGGGACCTGGCTAGCAGGGCTAGATACCTGGCTGCATGTCAGAATGGGGACTGGTCACACTAGGCAGGGCTATTACACTAACCAGGTACAAGAGAACCAAATCCAGGGATAGATTCTATGCCTGCTGGGCTGGGCTAGGCTATAGCCCCCACCAAAATGAGCTGGAATTGGGTGCTGCAGCTAGACAGAGAGTGGCACCCACCAGCACATGTGTGGGCCGGATATTGGACCTTGTTGAGTTGAACTAGGCTTCAATGCCCATTGACATGTGTGAGAGCTGAACGGGATGTGGGACAGACTAGACTAGTCTGCTGCACATACTGGCAAGCAGCATGGGAACCAGGGCAGGAGGTGGGTCTGGTGGGGGTTGTTGCGGGTTGCTCTGACGAGGCTGCAGCTCCCACCAGTTTGCATGAGGGTCAAGCGTGTGGTGGGCAGGGTCGGGATGTGCTCCACCACTCATTGATTTGCATAGAAGCCAGGGCTGGAGACAGACTGAACCAGTAATTGCAACTACCAGTGTGTGCAACAGACTGAGCCAGACCCTGTACTGGCAAGCACATATAAGATCAGGTCTGGGATCACCTCAGATGAAGTTTCTTTGGGGATCCCCCCAACTGAACTGCTGGACTCAGAACCCCAACAATGGAAAGAATTGCAGGTTCCCTGGTCTAACCATAAAGTGCATTTGTCAGAGCTGGGCCTCCTCGGTGGCTTAGAGCAGTGGACAGCACATCCAAATGCACAAAGAGGATATGGCAGGACACTGGAGCCTCCAGAGGACACTTGGTACTGTGGCGGAGGACAGAACAAATGGATCATCAATCCTAGCCAAGTGTTGGCAGTGAAAATCTAGGCAAATGGAGACTCTAAGGTGGACTGTGTCAGCCAGTAGATTCTGGGGCGATTTCAAATTTTTCAGATATATCTTCTGCCGCATTCTTTTAGTTGCTTTCACGTGGTCCACAGCCTCTGGAAAACTCCACTGCATGTCTGCAAAAGAATGAATGTGAAAGGGCCCAGTGCGATAGCCTAGTGGCTAAAGTCCTCGCTTTGCACATGCTGAGATCGCATATGGGTGCCAGTTCTAATCCTAGTGGCCCCGTTTCCCTTCCAGCTCTCTGCTTGTAGCCTGGGAAAGCAGTTGAGGATGGCCGAAATCCTTGGGACCCTACACCCGCGTGGGAGACCCAGAAGAGTTCCTGGCTCCTGGCTCCGGATGGGCTCAGCTTCAGCCATTGCAGCCACTTGGGGAGTGAGCCATTGGACGGAAGATCTTCCTCTCTGTCTCTCCTCCTTCCTGTATATCTGCCTTTCCAGTAAAAATAAATAAATAAATCTTAAAAAAAAAAAAGAATGAATGTGGAAAAGGCAAATAACCTAGTATTATTATAAAATAGTTTGAGCTCTCAGTGGACCTCTTGAAGGCATCCTTCGAGAGTCGCTAAGGGGAAACTTCAGGAGTTTATGCTTCTGGATTTCCCTATACATCACTAGCACGAAAATTGTTAAGGTTAAACAGTCAAATGAAGGCGATGAGAACAGGCTTTTTCCTTTGTTTTTGGTTTTATTTAGGGTAACGCTGGATCTTGCCGTAACTCAAGATGGCCGCCGGCTTCAACAAGCTAGTCCGTACAAAGACGTCACACAGCGACGTCTAGTGCCTGAGAGGGGGCACTACATTTCCCAGGGTGCTTTGCCGACAGTGACGCCATTGGTCGGAGCCTACGGAAGTGCACCACCTGAGCGGAAGCAGAAGGTCTCGGAGGGTAGGAAGGTGGAGAGCGGAGCAGCTGCGGGCTTGTGAGTGCGGCCGTGGGCTTGCAGGCTGGGCGGGTGTGGGGCGCAGCCAGGGGACGGTCAGCGGGGAAGCGCGAGGGGGCTCTTCCCTCACCGTGGGTTCTCGGGTCCCTCATTTGCCTTCTAGACTTGGGAGGGAAAGTAGACATTGTTGTGGAAGCGAAATCCTCGCGTTACGGTCCTCTTTGCGAGTGGTCTTAGAACGACCTTCTTCCCCAAGGGTCGTGGGCTTGATTTCGCTGTGACCAGAAAGGCAGGCTTGCGGACGAGCTGACTCGGCTTCTAGAGTGGTGCTTCCCAGTGGGCTGCATGTTAGAGTCGCCTGGGATACTTCAGAAACTGAAAGGAAAGGGCAGGACTTGGGGCGCCGGCCCCGTAAATCAGAGCGTCCCCAGGTGTGCCCCGTGCTGTGCACCTGCGGCGGGAGGGCCACCCTCGCCTGCCTCCATTAGGGTCACCTGGCTGCCTTTCCTCCTCCGGGCTGCGCGGGCCACGCTCGTTGGGATTGCAGATAATGACCACGGTTTTGGTCGCACCAGAAGCTTATTTTAGGGCTTCCTGGAGGACGGTGTTAGTAAGGCGGCCCGTGGTTTGTGATTTCGTTCATGATTTGTGATGAAAGATGGAGAACTGCTGCGTTTTTCTGCTTGCTGAGCTTGTGCCTGGGTGCTGCTACCCTGACGAAACGTGAGCCAGTGAAAAACGTGGAAGGGTTAAGTTTGGTTACCTCATGTAACCAGGAAAGGAGTCAGCAGTTAAGAAGTGGTTTGATATTATTGGTAGGGCTGTGCAACCCTATGTGAATATGCCGACTTTCCACGAAAGGAATTTATACGTTTGGGGCTCTAATGCAGAGGTTTGTTCAGAGCGTGAAACGCAGTATTTCTCTCGGTGTCAGTATCACGGGACAGCAGATGCCTTTTCCTTTCCTAGGCCTTCAGCTCCGCCTCCCGCCCTGACCACAGCATGGGGGAGAAGTCCGAGGGCTGTGAAGGACCCGCAGATCTGCTCAGGGGGTTGAAGGTCACAGACCCCCAGGAAGTGGAGTGTGCCGGCCCTCCAGCTCCTGCTCCCAGAGGGGAGAGTGCGAACAGCCAGCGGCTGCTGGAAGGCGAGGAGCAGGAGGAGGAGTGCTTCCATGACTGCAGTGCCTCCTTCGAAGACGGGGAGCTGGGAGGGGTGAGGATGGAGGACAAGCCCGCCGACGAGGCTCCCCCCGAGCTGGATGAAGAATACCTCATAGAACTGGAAAAGAACATGCCAGACGAAGAGAAGCAGGTAAGCAGTTTTGTTTACAGTCAACACCTTAAGCCTCTGCTAAAGTGAGCGTGTACAGTTGGTGCTGTATGACGGACTGCCCGGCTGCCCCGTTGTGTTGCTGTTGCTTTGGTTCTGGTGGGTGTGAAGGAATCGCGACCATCATAGGGAATCGTTGCTTGTGTTTGCTCAGCCGAGAAATTGCCTCTTGTTTGTTTTCTGTGAATTTAAATTTGTTTGTTCATCTTGAACTTCAGGAACCTGTAGCGTATTCTCACATGACAGGTTGGTCACTTTATTTTGGTGCAAAAAAAAAATCTGTGCATAAATGGGGTCTTCACAAAAGTGCAGTAAAAATGTACGTATTTTTAGCTGTATGTATGGATTTCAGGTGTTTTATGTTTCAAAGTAGACTTTTTTGAAGACTTGCTTTGTTTCAAAGAGTCACAGAAAAGGAAAGATAGTGGAAGATCTGTCCTCTGGTTCACTTCCCAGATGGCCAGGATGGCTGGGCGCAGCCCGGGGGAGCCAGGAGCCTGCACTCTTAGGAGGAGTACCCACTCTTTATCTCCCTTCAGTTCTTTTTATTATCAGTTGGCATGCTATTATTTTAGTCAAAAGGCAGAGAGTCAGCTCTTCCCTCTGCTAGTTTATTCTCCAAATGCCCATACCTGGGGCTGGGCAGGAACCAAGAACCTGGAACTGAGTTCAGGTTTCCACATGAGTGTCAGGAACCCAAGAACTGACACCATTACGTTCTACCTAACGGTGGATTTTAATCCAGGTCATCCAGTATGGGATGCAGACTTCCTAAACGTCAGCTTCCTTTTTTTTTTTTTTTTTTCCATTTTTTTGGAATGGTTGATTTACAGACAGAGAAATCTTCCATCCGCTGATTCACTCCCTATAAGGCTGCAACAACTAGAGCTGAGCCCATCAGAAGCCAGGAGTTTCTTCCAGGTCTCCACGCAGGTGCAGGGTCTCAAGGCTTTGGGCCGACCTCCACTGCTTTCCCGGGCCTTAAGCAAGGAGTTAGATGGAAAATGGAACAGCTGGGACACAAACCGGACCTAAATGGGATCCCAGCACTTGCAGGTGGAGGATTAACCAATTGAGCCATTGCATCAGGCCTGCCTCCACCCCAAAAGGTTTCTTAACAGCCATACAAAATATTGCCCCCACTTAGTTTTAATGCACGTGTGGTAACTTTTGTGCCAGTGTGTGCCACCAGGAGAAGAGAAAAAGGAAACAAATTCATAAAACTAGCCTCAGCAATTGGATTTCCAGGACAGGCAATCCTACACTGTGGCTTAAGCCACTGCTTGGGATCCTCTGTTCCGTCTCCGAGTGTCTGGGATCAAGCCCTGCATGTGCTTCTGGTCCAGCTCTCTGCTGTGCACGCCCTTTGGAGGCAGCAGGTGCTGGCTCAGGTGTTTGTGTGTCTGCCATTCCCATGCGAGACCCAAATGGAGCTCCTGATTCAGCTTGACCCAAAGCCTAGGTGTTGTGGGCAGAAGATCAGATGTTTTTTCCATAGCATTAGAGAAATAGCGAGTTTGGATTTAGCTTTCAAATAATTAATTCGAGCTTTAAAAAAAATTTTTTTTTGTTTGTGTGTGAGTGATTGGCCTAACAGTCAGATACCTACATCCTCTGTCAGAGTACCTGAATGGGGCCAATGTTGGGGTGCCAGTTTGAGCCCCAGATGCTCACCTCCCATTCAGCTCCCTGCTGCTCGGCTCCCTAGGCAAAACAGCAGCAGAAGGCCCAAGTGCTTAGACTGTCTACACGTGCGGGAGACTTGAAAGAAACTTCTGACTGGAGTTTGAACCAGCCCTGGCCGTTCTGACGCCCTGGGAGTGACCCGAAGATGCCTGTCCTGTCTGTCCCTCCCTCTGTGACTTTTTCAGACAAATAAAGAGGCCCAGTTCCACTCCCAGCTCCAATTGCCTGGTAATGCTGAGCCTGGGAGGCGATGGGTGACTCAGGTGGAGGGATTCTGGCTCCCCATGTGGGAGACCTGGACTCCCTGCCTGGTTTGCAGCTTCAGCCTTGGGCGCTGTGGGCGTGAACCAGGAGATAGGAACCCTGTTTCTCTGCCTCTCAAGTGAGTTTTTGAGTTTTTGTTTTGTTTTGTTTTAAGATTTATTTATTTATTGGAAAGTCAGATATATAGAGAGGAGGAAAGACAGACAGGAAGATCTTCTGTCTGATGACTCACTCCCCCAGTGAGCACAACGGCTGATGCTATGCCGATCCGAAGCCAGGAGCCAGGAACTTCTTCCGGGTCTCCCACACGGGTGCAGGGTGCCAAAGCTTTGGGCCGTCTTCGACTGCTTTCCCAGGCCACAGGCAGGGAGCTGGATGGGAAGTGGAGCTGCTGGGATAAGAACCGGTGCCCATATGGGATCCCGGGGCATTCAAGGTGAGGACTTTAGCTGCTAGGCCACGCCGCCAGGCCCTTGTTTTGTTTTTTTAATGGAATTGATTAAATGTCTGTTAAAAATATTAGTGCTTTTCTGATACCTCAAAAAATATAATTGGAAGTTTCTAGTACCGTCTGGTTTCAAAGGTTGAGCAGTTTGTTGCAAAGTGTCATCTACTCCTCTTTTCCCCAAGTTTGATAGAACTTTGCATTTTGGCCTTTTAGGCTAGCAAATCGCCTTCTAAAATCCATAAATATTTTGAAGATGATTTTTGTTGCTGATGGAAGTAATGTTCTAAAGAACAGTTTTCCCTGCTTTTAAAGACTGAGCTGCAATTTGCATCTGGTGCAGCAGTTCTGATGTATACATTCATAGAATTTCAGCAACCCTTCACACCTGTTTGACTCACATCTTTGTTGAGATATAGAACATTTGCATCATGTCAGAAGGTCCCCTGTGCACGTTTTAGGTATTCTCTCCTCGCCTATCCTAGGGAGCTGCTGTTTCAGAACTATCCAACAGTGTGCTTTTGTTGTTGTTGTTTAGACTTTTTTAAACAGTGCTCTTCACTTTTAAAAATACTAATGTTTTCTATTTTATGTTCTCATAGTGTAACTGGAAAATCTATAAGAAAATAGCCTAGCAGTAAGCTACTACAATGGCAGTTTGCCACCTATCAGAGTATAGGCTGTCTCTAGCTGATTGTGGTACTCTATTAAGCTGTTTTGTGCTGTGTTGATAAATACCTGTGTGAAATGATCACCAAGGAACAAAACAAATGAAGACATGTCTTCACTGCAACCAACTTACCTAGGTTGGTTTTAATAGGTCGCTGGGCAGAAGGGCAGGACAGCTGCTTTCAGCCTCCGTAAGGGTACTGACAGCTTTCAGGAGAGCAGAGCCCTTACATGGCAGCCTCTTCCCTCAGAGACCCGCCCCTTAATACCACCTGGTTGGATATTAGGTTTCAATGTGTTATTTGGAGGAAAACGTTCGGGCAATAGCTGATGTTTAAAATATTGGGTCTGATAGCATATAGTATAGGTAGTCCTGTAAGAAAAGCACCTTTGAGCCAATCAAACCCAGGAACCCAGAACAACATCTGGATCTCCCATGTGGGTAGCAGAGGCCCAAATACTTGGGCTGTGTTTTGCTGACTTTCCAGGCACATTAAAAAAGAGCTGGATTGGAAGTTGACGGGCCAAGCACTCCAACCAGCCCCCATAAGGAATGCCAGCATCACAGGCAGCAACTTGACTTACTGTACCACAGTGCTGGCCCCATGACCCAGCACTTTAAAGCATTTTTGCTGGGCTCTGAACATTTAAAGTAGTATTTAAAAAAAAACAAACTGCTTTTTTTGGAGCAGGGGTAATGATCGAAGCATTAGTTTTGAACGGAAGTTATATGTCAGTGCTGTTTCTCTCACACTAATTTTCCCTCAATTCTACATTACTTAATTCTTTTAATAAGTTTTTAAAGTAAGATTTATTTATTTAATTGGAAAGTTGTAGTTAGAGAGGGGTCAATGTCAGTCTGCTGGCTCATTCCCCAGACAGCCAGAGCTCAGCCAGGCCAAAGCCAGGAACCAGGAGCTTCCTCCAGGTCCCCGCCTGGGAGCAGGGTCCCAAGGCTTTGGGTCATCTTCCACTGCTTTTCCAGGCCACAAGCAGGGAACTGGACCTGGAGGTGAAGTAGTTGGAATAATAGCCTGCTATGTCACCATGCCAGTTCGTGACCCTTTGTTTTACGTATCTCCACCACATCATTGTATCCTTTTCATAATCTTAGCTGTGTTCTAACTGGGCATCTTTACAGGGAATACTGTCTATTGTTTCCAGAAAGTTTTCAGTAACTGCTTTCTTCATGGTCTGTGTATTCTTATCAACATAGTAAGCAAACCCTTTCTTAAAAAAAAAAAAAGAAGACTGAGTTGCAGATACAGGGAAGGAGAGAGAGCAAGCTTGCATCTGCTGATTGATTTTCCTAGCTAAGCTAGGACTGGGTCATACGGAAGCCAGGATTCTACATCTCCACCCAGATCTCCCACATGGCTGGCAGAGACCCAGGCCCTTGGGTGACCTTCCACTGCTTGTGCAGGCACATTAGCAAGTGAATGCGTAGGAAGTAGAACAGGGCCCAGCGCAGTGGCCTAGTGGCTAAAGTCCATACCTTGCACGCACCAGGGTTCCATATTGGCACTGGTTCATATCCTGGTGGTTCAGCTTCCCATCCAGCTCCCTGCTTGTGGTCTGGGAAAGCAGTCAAGGACGGCCCAAAGCCTTGGGACCTCGCATCTGTGTGGGAGACCCAGAGGAGGCTCCTGGCTTCCGACTTCTGATTCGCTCAGCACCAGCCATTGTGGCAACTTGGGGAGTGAATTAACAGGTGGAAGATCTTCCTCTCTGTCTCTCCTTCTCTCTGTATATCTGACCTTCCAATAAAAAATAATAAATATTTTATAAAAGAAGAGGTACAACAGCTGGGACCCCAACCAGTGCCTGTATGGGGTGTGGCTTTTGCATGTGGCAACTTAATGTGCTGAGCTACAAGGCCGCCCCAACCCTTTTTTTGGTATTGTTTTCTTTTTCTTTC